CTGGATTCCACATGCATTTGTTCTCACCTCTCCTCCTTACAGCATTGCAAAGGGGTGCAGAGATTGACAGCTCCAGCCCTGATATCCAGAGTGCCTGGCACACTATCTCCAACTCTGTATATGCCCAATGTTCATGTCTAAATTAGTCATCAACTCCAAAAATAGTGAATGAAAAGACTTCAACAGAGCGGCTGATGGTGCCTGATCCAAAATCATAGTGTGGAAACCAGATGAATAAAATTCAAATGTGCTAACTTTAGGGCTGGAACTCATGTATTTGATTTGAAGTGCAATGAACATGCTTCCTCAGTCCTAGTATGGGGTGGGTCCTGAGCCCTCCCAAGTGTGTGCACACATGCATGTGTGCTCGTGCACAGAAGCACAGAAGCCAGAGCACAACATCCAGTGTCATGTCTCAGGCATTGGATGCATTGGAATCACCAGGAAAGCAAGGCTCCCTGTTCATCTGGCCCCAGGGATCCACTTGTCTCTGCCTCCCCAGTGCTGCGATTACAAATATGCATTAGATGTTTTTACTCGGGTGCTGGATATCAAATTCGGGTCTTCACTCATACTTACATGGCAATCACTTTACTAACAGCCATCTCCAGCCAGGGTGCAGACTCTAATGAAATGGGAGGAGATCCTGGGTAGTCTCTCTATAGATTAGGAAATAACTGGAGTAGAATGCACAGGGCTTTGAGGTTACTGATGCAATTGCTGAGGCAAACAGGAGACCTACATCATGTGTGGGTTTGAGGGTGACATGGGAACTGTGACTAAACAGCTGAGTGAAGTCATCTATGTGTTTAATGGCCAAACACGACAGTGATGATAGTGATTTCTGGGAACACTGGCAATGTGACACAGTGTTCTAAACATATTTTATAAACAATTCAAATGCTTGATGTACTGTTACAAGTTCACAAAGGGGCTGGGAAGACGGTCCAGTTAGTCAAGTGTTTGCTGCCCAGGCAGGAGAACCTAGGCTTGGATCCCCTGCACCATGAAAAAAACGGGGTGCAATGACACACACTTGTAATCCCAGGCCAGGGAAGTGGAGACAGGAAGAGCTTTGGGGTTCACCAGCCAACCAGTCTCATTAAATCAACAGGTTCAGTCTGATACTCTTTTTCAAAAGCAGGGTAGAGGCATGGAGGTGGTGGTTTGATCCCAGCATTTGGGAGGCAGAGGCAGGCAGATCTCTGAGTTCAAGACCAGCCTTCTCTACAGAGCAAGTTCCAGGACAGCCAGGGCTACACACGGAGACTCTGTCTCAAGAAAAACACAAACACTAACAAACAAACACAGGGTGGAGAGCATTTACAGGAGACACTCCTAGTTGATCTCTGGCTTCCTGTATACCTGTACACAGAAGGAAAAAAAAAACAGTGATATGAAGCATGGATAATAACCTCTTCAATACAACTATCCCATACAGGCGACTGCACTTAATTCTAGACTTTGAACAATTAGACATTCTTAAAGTCCAACTGCCCTGTAGTGCTGAGGCTGCTATTTGTCACCCAGCCATGTGAAGGCTGTTCCATGACTGTAAGCTAACTTCTGTCTCAGACAATGACCTCACTTCTTACTTCACAGAGACCAGAGCTATCAAGGATGGTTGCTTGCCTTCAGCTCATGGCCCTCCCTCACTGTTTTCATCTCTTCTTTGCCGGTCAGGATGGAGGACCCTCCTTTCTGAAGCAACCCTCCCCCTGCACACTAGTATTCCTTAACTCCCTTCCCCTCAACACGACTATCTTTGTGTGCCCACATATGCACATGTTCATGTGTGTTCATGTACATGTTTGGGCATATGTATGCAGCCAGAGATGAATCTCAGGTGTTTTTTTTTTTTTCAGGTGATGTCTGCCTTGGTTTTTGAGATAGGGTCTCTCACTAAACCTGGAGCTCACCTAGTAGGTTAGGCTGAGATCCGGCCCCAGGGATCCATCTTTTTCCACCTTCCTAGCCCTGGGATTACAACTGCTTGATACTATATCTAGGTTTTTGTATGGGTACTGAAGGATCCAACTCGGGTCCCCATGCTTGAATAGTAAGTATTTGACCCACTGAGCTATCTCCCTGCCCTCCCCCAAGCTCACACTTTACCTGTTCTCCGGTTCCTGTCACTCCATGGCTCCTCGGGCATTTCATGTCTCTTGATGGCATGCCCTACCTCCAGTAAGATGGCCAACCCCCAATGTCCTCCAAACTTCCTAGATTTTATAATGACTGTTCTGGCTAGTATTTTGTCAACTTGACACAAGCTAGAGACATTTGAGAAAAGAGAAACCTCAACTGAGAAAATCTGCCAACAGATTGAGCTGTGGGCAATCCTATGGGGCATCTTCTTGATCAATGATTGATGTGGGTGGCTTCATCCCACAGGGAGGTGGTTGGTTTCCCCCAGCCAGGTGGTCCTGGGTTGTATAAGAAAGCAGGCTTACAAGGTAACCCAATCACAAAAAGACAAACATTTATGTACTCACACATATGTGGATTTTAGACATAGAGTAAAGGATTACCAGCCTACAATCCACACTGCCAGAGAAGCAAATAAACAAGGAGGACCCTAAAAGAGACAAACATTGTCCCCTGAAGAAGGGAAAAAGGTCACGATCCCCTGAGCAAATTGAGAGCATGGGAAGGGGGGGAGAGAGCTACGAGAATGAGAAGGGAAGAAGAGGAAGAATGCAGAGGTCATGAGGGAGCAGAAAGTTTGAGTCAGGGGTAGATTTGTGATGACCTGCAGGACATCAACCTGGGGCAAGAGAGTCAGGGATAGGGAATGGGGACAAGAGACACAGAAAGAACGACCACAAAACAGGATCCTGATCAAGTGGCAAACTTTACTTTTTTCTCAGGCTAGCTTATATAGTC